ATTATTATTATTATTATTATTATTGCTAGAACAAAATTGAAAATTGCGTTCTGGGAATTGACATATTTATTCTATAGTGTATTCATTTGAAATACACAGTCGATATGAAACATGTGTTAAAAGCTCTCTGTCAGTGAACAATTTATGAACAGTGTGAATTGAATGGATAGAACTGTGGTGTAATAATGTTAGAGTGTTGATCAACACTCTAACATAAATTTATGAACATTCCACGTGCTGTATCACTAGGTACACTAATTAACGTACTTCCCATGTAACATTTCGGTCTCAGCTTTTATTTTCTATGTGTTGAACCTGACAATGATTTTGCAACTGTGTGTTTATCCTGCCAGGATAGCTGTAGCACTTATTTTTATTGATTTTCTATTCTTTTCTATTAGTTTTAACTTACCTTTTGTATAATTGTAATTTCATCTCCTACTGTCAAGTCGAGGTCGGTGTTGCATGCTCCTTTAAACGTGGTAACAACTCGAACCTTGTTTCCTGCGTCACTTAACTTTCGTTTAGTTTTCTTTTTTTCTTTCATTCGCTTTTTTAGCTTGCGTTCACGCTGTTAAAATGATACGATAGAAAATTGTAACATTATGCCGATATATTTAACTAATATATATCAGTAAAAAGTAAAGAAAATGAGAAAAAAATAGCTTTTTTGGGGAGCTAGGCAGAGGTGCGAAGAGTGCGTTCGTAAAGCGTTACCTAGATCTCACCCCTGTCGTGGGTTCCATTCAGTATACGCTGTTGGTCAGTTCTCTTCCGCAATTTGAGAAGTTCCAAAGATCTCTGCCATCCCTACCTTCTTYGGTAAAAGACAACACTTTGCTTTTCTTTTCATAAAATTTTCCTTTTATCTTCTTTTCGCATGGGTTTTTATTATCTTTGCACCCCCACCCCCAACCCCGCCCACTGCACGCCACGTGCCCTGTTTCGAGAATACAGATTAAAAGTCGGAAAAATGATGTTCAAAAAAACGGTATCTCGAATCAAAATATGCCTTACTTTTTTACTGCTAACAATTAAAAATACGGTACATGAAAAAAAAATTACGGCTTCTCCTTAAGGCTGAAACTAAAATAAAAACTAAAGGCAAAAAAGGACCCTTGCAAGCAGAGTAAGAGTAGATTTCATTTAGCATTGATTATTGAGTGCATTACCTTGTCTTTGTCATTATCTTTATCATCCTATTGAAGAAAAAAATCGTTATTTTCAAGCTAATTTTTTCTCATAAAGCTAACACCGGTCAGGTTTTACCTCAGATTTTTCATCCTCTTCTGATAAGGTAGCACCAGTCTGAAGGAACAAGAAATATCCGAATTCTTCATTATTTCACGTCGTACGTCGTAATACCTCGTACTGTAAAGCCTGGTTCTCTCTATCGACGCAAGCAGATTGACCTTCATGTTCTGACTATGAAAAGAAGCAACGCAAGCGCTAGAGAACGGAATTTTTTGTTTTTTCTTGCGTTGGCTTGCGCTCGACTCATGCTTGCGTCGCTAATGAGAACCAGGCTTAACCGTAATTGTATCTTACCGTAGCCATAACAAAGTATTTTGGCTTGATAAGTTACTAGAAGATATTGAGAAACCACCGGCTACAGTGTTACTGTAGATCGTATCGCGTGGATGCTGCATAAGTCAGTTTAAGTGCAAAAGGTACAGTACTGAATTACAGCACATAAATGATGCCATTCAAATGGCTTACCTATGTCTGCTCTATGAAAAGCCTAGCTTACCTTAGGTACAGCTATAGATCCTCTCTTAAGGTTTCCTCCCCGCCCGCCACTAATCGAAGGTGCCAATGACTGCCTTCTTTCTACAACTTGCTCAGCCTGAAGTAAAAAATTATTCACGTTAAACCTGGATGACACGATTGCCATGGCCACCTTCTTGTAATAAGATGGCTTACGGTAATGCAAATATCGTTACAATCAGGAAGAAAACACCAAAAAGTTAGAGTTTCCTTATGTCCCTTGAAAAAAATTGAGAAGGGGGGCTAGTTAATTTCATATCAGGGGAGGGTGGGGGAATTGATTTTAGATTTGGAGGGGTTCGTTATTGCTTTTAAAAATATCAGATATGCGCATATTTCGGCCTTAGAATGCTCCACTTACTGCCAGTCAGACCTCACCCCCTCCCCCCCGATACCAGATTTCGTGGGACCCCTTCTAAATATGGTCTGCTAAATTGGCCTTAATGCCCCTATTGCTATTGCTTCCTTTTTGCTTGCTAAGCCTAACGTATACTATCTATTGCTACTTACTCGAGCACTGCCAAAGATACTACTTGCAAAACTGTTGAGGACTTCTACAGCCTGGGATTTCACCGACGTCTATAGAAAGGAAAAATTGTTGAATTGAATCACGTAATATAGAAAAATCACTAAGGAGGTTTATGGTATAACATAAACGTTTTTGAGACAAAGTAGTTGCACAGATGGAGATCCCGGAGATATGGCGGAACACTCTCTATTCTACTAATACTAATGTTTAACCAACCTTTACAGCTGTAGTTGGTCTCTGATCGGAGATATGTCTTCCCACACCTGGGTGTTGTTGTTCTTCCAGGGTAGCAAGCTTGTTGAACGCTTCAATAGCGATAGCTACAAAAAGACTTTGATACAATACAATATATTAGAATGACCAGTAGATGCATGCGGTATTACGAAAATTATATATCCAGTCAAACTTGTAGCACAATATGGGCCTTTTTTTACGCGGCAGCCATGTTGAGTGGAACAATAGATTCCTGCACGCGTATCCCCGCATTCAAGTGCTTGAGAATACATTCATGAGGATGTAACAAAGATTTTTATTCTTATAAGAATAAACATGGCTGCCGTATTATATTAGTAAGGCCCATTGTAGAGTTGAAAGGTGCAGAGTTCAAATTACCACCCCGCGCGCAAAAATATTTACCTCCATATTGCAAGTAGAAGCTATATCTAATCTTCAAAACATAGAATGTTTCGTTGGAATGGTGTGGTAATACGAGCAACTTTCGCGCAGCAAATACATCATTCAATAACTGTTGTGTGAATGTTTTGCACTATTGACGCACGTCAAGCGACTCTGCTAATGAACTAGCTCACAAACTCACAAAGCTCACTGGTAACACCTTGATTACTTACTTCATAACTACCATGTTAAGAAGAATATAGGCCAACACGAAATAGAGACTTGTCCAGTATTGACCAGTCGATGAAATAACCTAAAGTAAAACAATTAGGTTTTAAATATTTCCTTCATCATATGTATACTTGAGTTAGGTTCTCTAGCCATTAGTTAGCGGTAGGTCATCTCGATAGAGGGCTCTCAGTGTTGCTACCCCTTACCCCCTTCGCCTGACAGCGGCACACAGCCTTTAACTAAGCTCATGTGATTAAGTGTCCAGTAATACTTACCAAATTCATAATTTCATGCCAATTACTTGTGGTAACCATTTGAAATAGTATATAACAGGCACAACTGAGAAAGAAACAATGTACTCGTAAATATTATAATTAAAGTCAGGATGCATTGTTGATTTATTACTAGCGCGCGCGGACACCAACATTTAAATACAAATGCCCAAATACCAACGGCACGCTGAAGAAGATCCCTGGTCACGGGGATCTTAAACATTTTAAGACAGAGACAAACATTTAAAGTATTATACTCGTAAATGTTAATGTAGATCAGAAACCTAAGATCTACTAGTGGCAGAAAAATGAATATGACTGGCAGAAAAATGAATATGACTAATAATGACTGGAAATATTGTGGAGCAGATTGCGCATGACTGTGGAACGGCATGGCACGCAATACAGATACAGTACAGAATTAACAACACCCTTACAACCAATTAAATCGCGCAAAATAACTGCTTAGCCAATCAAAATGGTGACGGATATGGTATGCGCACGGTCATGGCATTGTACATCCGTACGGTGCGTTTTTCAGAATTGTTTTAACATAAAGTCTTACGTAAATGTATTAAATCCTATTCCACATGTCTCCAGGTACATATGTCCATCTTTCTCAAGTACTGGTGGGTTCCTGAATAGCTCCATGCCAACAGCAGCGAAGAGATATCTAAGCAAGGTAACAAAACCCTTCAGTTAACTTTTTGAATAATAGTCGATAGTTTCTAAAAAAATATAGCTGTTGTTAGTTTTTCTGGGTGCTTCTCATGAAGGGATATGAAAAAGAGACAAAAAAGACACCAAGAACGTTTTAAAAGGAGATCCTAGTCGTAACAAAAATTACGGAAAGTAAACAATTCTGGAAATATTTTAAACTGCGCAATGAACAAAACAAGTAAACAATCATACTGCTGACTCTCTGTTAAGCGAGAAGTAAGTGGTCGCTCACGTGATATTTGAATAACGGTGTTTGTATGAAATACACAGCGGGACTTTGAGAAGGTGGTCTCTTAAGGAGATGGTCGCTTACGAGAGTGGTTGCTTACGAGAGTGGTCGCTTACGAGAGTGGTCGTTAAAAGAGATAAAAATATATAGATAATAAAAATAAAGAAGGAGGGAATAAAACGAATAACGATACTTACAATATAATAAATAAAAGAAATATAAGATCAACCATGACAGGTGCTATTCTAATAAACACCTCAATGGCGCGCTTTAGCTGGGAATTGTTGAACGGCAAACGACAAAACACGGCCAAACAGGAAACAAGAGTAGTGTAGTCGTGGAAATAAGATCGAGAACCATTAGACGTGTACCATGCCAAGTTAGCGCAGAATGCTATCAATATCTACAAAAAAAATAACCAATAGTAGAAATCTGATATAGGGCTTGGGAGTATTAGGTCTGCAGTCTGAAACATGCCTTTTTCTAAAAATGATTTTTTAAATCAATTTACCCATTTCCCTCCGCATCATCATGTCACATCATCCATGTCATCATCATCAACATCATCATCATGTATCATCTTCCATCATCGTCACCATCATTATTATCAACATCACCATCATGTATCAACATCATGTATAGGCATCCCATTATGGCTACCACCACCATCATCATCATCAACATCACCATCATATATCAACATCATGTCTAGGCATCCATCATCGTCACCATCATCGGCATCATCACTTAACATCACCATCATCATCATGTATCATTGTCCGTCATCCTCATCAACTACATCATCAGCATTTTTTTGGAAAAACATTAATGAGATAAACGAGGGGCATAAATCATCTTACCAGAGTGACATCCATGAGTTCAAGAAGAGAGATGATCTTCTTGCCGAGAACAATACACCTCAAAATACCCTCGAACTAGAAACAGGAATTAACAAATAAGTATACCTCCTTCTGCTTCACATTAGGTGAATAATGTTGATAAGGTAAAACGATTCACTCATAAAACCCTGAGACWAGGAATTTACTCTTAGAACAAGTATACCTTCTAGCAGCTTTTCATTAGGTAAATATGGTTGATAAWGTAAAACGATTCACTCATAAAACCCTGAGACCAGGAATTTACACTTGGTACAAGTATACCTTCTAGCTGCTTTTCATTAGGTAAATATGGTTGATAAAGTAAAAAGATTCACTTACCATAAATATCGTCACAATAATGGACCTTAAAACTGTAAGAAAAATTATCAAACATATATATAAATAACTGAAAAATCGTAGTTCGTGGGCGTATCCAGACACACCGATACACAATCCTATTGACATTGCATGCGTGGTAATTTGGTGGTTGTATTGGGAGAGGAGAAGGAATGATATGTGTGACTCTCTCCGTGAGAAATCTTGGCATGTGCTTCTATATTTAGTTTCCATCCACTATCGGAAGGCGAAAAAATTTCAGATACTGTTACAGACCTTGTAGGATAAACTCTTCTTCGTAACTTTGTCCTTTCCGTTTTAAAGAGAATATGATGCTTTAAAGGTAAAAAGTTTGATCTGTTAACTTATATACACATACATATATATTTATTTATAGGTAATGACTAAAAATATAAACAAAATAAACCCTTACATATGACGTCAAAGGAGCTCCATCTGGGGGACAAAATTAAAACAAAAGATTTCCAATCTCCTGAGAATTGGAACCTATTGTTTTGTCCCCCAGATTGAGCTGTATTCCAAAGTGATGCAAGTGGTCTGTATATTATAACACTTACCAATGAATTATTATCAAGATCAGAATCAGTCGAGTGAACAAGATTGTCTAAAAAACGTTAATTAATAAACATTAATTTGTGCTAATAGTGAAAGTAGTATAAATAGTGGTAAATGGAGCTTCTCAAAATTATCAAGCATCCGAGGCTAACATAAAAAAAAAAAAGAAATCACACTTTTTCTCGATGGAATTCGTGGCTTTTTTAAATTTATTCGTATTACCATGTTAGCCTCTCTATGTTAGATAGTTTTGAGAGGAGTCCATTGCAAGAGTGCTATCGTCGGTATTAGTAGTTGTCGGAATGGAAGTGGTAGCATTGGTAATATAGTATTGGTTGTAGTGGAATAAAGTGTGGTAGTTGAGGTGGTGGTGATGGTGATGGTGGTGGTCGTCGATGTAGTCGCGAGTTGTTGCAGTAATGGTTGAGAGCGTTAGTGGTGAAAGTGATAGTTGCAGAAGTAGTTCTGGTGGTAATAGTATAGTGATCTTATGAGTAGTTAATGGTATTGATGATGGTCGTATGAGTGAGGTCATGTTTCAGCACTGATATCTTAACATATCTCACCTCTGCTATTTGTACAGCGACATCTCTAATCCCATAGAAACACTTAAACGTACATGGCTACAAAATAAGAATATTACGAAACAAAAGAAACAATATATCATAATCGTGCTGGTAACACAACCACAGCATATAAACTTAGAATGTTATCCTTACAAAGTCATCAAAAGTTAGTTCATCTTCTTCTTCGAATTCGTAGCCCAGCACCTGAAAGATTCATATATTAATAATTTATTGTCATGCGCATGAGATCTTGAGAAGGGAGCTAGATTACGTCAACAAGGCCATTTTACTACACTAGCAGAAGGCTCCGCGAAATTTTTTCCTCACTCAAGTTTTTGTTTTCTCATGAGAATAGTAAGTATGTTAGTCAAGAAAATTTACGCGAGGTTCTGGTAAAGGAAGTATATAAAAGTGAGGTGCACAAAGTGCCTTTCATTTGAGTTTAACAAATAGGATACACTCGGTTCTAGCTGCTAGAACACAATACACCATATTTGCTACATCGCCATATTATACATTAGAAAAGGTTTAGAACGGTCTGCCGAGAAGAGAAAAAAGACTAAAACATATAAGCCTGAAGCGAGATGACGTTTTACCCCCGTCTCTAGACCATAATCCTTTTCACACTGCTTTTGTTCTTTAATTATGACTATTGTTCCTGTATTCTCTAAGGAATCAAAAATTTTAATATGAAAGAATTTAAAAAACTATTATGGTATAGAGTCGGGGGGTAAAACGTCATCTCGCTTCAGGCTTATTGAAGCCATCGTTATTCATATAACATGAGGCTCCATTTACCTGGCTTAACATGGTGGTCCATTCAAAAGAGTCGACTTCACCATCTTCGTTTGTGTCTAGCATCTCAATAAGCTGTATGTTCTCTTCGTCGTGGTTCTATATTGTACAGTGAGGTTTCAATTTACAGTGACTTTACAAAATAGAAAAGAGTTCGTGCCAAGACATATGAAGGAACTATATTAAATCCTTGTCCAAAGAAAGAGGAATATGTGTTATAAGTATACCTTAGGCTTTAGAAGGCGAAAAAGCTCTACGAATTTCTCATCTTGAATGCTCAACGCACCTGTGAAAAGACATTAAGTAGGCCGGAGATTTTTTATTATTTTTGAAGTTAAACTTTAATTTAATTAGGAAATGATCCTAAAGGGCCTTTAGGACTGAAAGAGATTGGTTTTTAGTTCCTTACATTACGTTCTCTTTACACAGTTCAGTGCTTTACTCACCAAGTCCTAGTGGATCTAAAAGATTCCACGCTTTTGCAAGCTCTGCTCTTTCTCTTGCTCTTTCTTTTTTCACGTGTTTCTTAGAAAATACCCTGCAAAAACACGACCAATAGACCTCTTTAGCTTGCGTGTAATATTTTCCCATTTAAGACCACATGTCATTCGCTAGACTACTATTTCTATGTTCACCAGTTGAGCATGAGAAGACACGTGAATATGGATACGAATCAAACAAATCTTATTCTCAAGGGAATGACACATGGTCTAAAATGGGAAAACATTACGCTCAATTTAAATATTTATTGCAAGGCAAACCTGCGCAATAAATATTTTCTATTAAGGATTATTAGATAGAGTTTCTTCTTCGTGCAATACGGTCAAATTCGAATTCGAAAGAGCAGAATTTGTTTTGTTGATATACTCTCTGCTCCCATTCCAAAACAGTTTCCTGCTGGCTTTTCCTTTTTTTCTTTGTTTCTTTCTTCCATTTCCTTTTCTTCCTTTTTTATTCTCTTTTCTTCCACTCTAAAGAGATAGGACACAGGAACTTACCAGTAGCTATCCACGACGATGGCGAGAATGATGGCAGTCAGAAAAAACACACCAAAAAAGACATAAGAACCTACAAAAAAATAAATAAATAAAAAGATAATAAGAAAACTAATGGATTATGATATCTTACTGATAACGCCTTACACTTCTTACGTTTCTTACACTTACCGAAAAAGAAAAAGTACCAAGACTGCACTCGCAAGGACGGTAACATCACTTCCTGTCAATGAAAAAACGCACTGATTTTATCTGGAAAATATCTTATTATTAGTAGCCATTTTGTCATATTTCTAAAAGATGCTCCAATTTGCGCGACCATTTGTAAAACATGAGCCACTAGCTCTTTCGCCAGACAATATGAAAATTCAATATATTAGAACGAGTGTTAGCCGAGTGTTTAAATACGCAGCTTCCGCATTCGCTGTGATTTTTGAATTCCACTAAAATTAATCAAGTCCGTGAATTTGTTCAAAGGTTGCAGATTCTCTTCAAAAATCGAAAAACAAATATTCAATAGTTCAACAAAAAACGAAGAAAAAAACAAAAACAAAAACAAAAAAACAAAAAAAGAAGAAAAAGAAAAAAGAACTAAATAATGAATAATAAGAAGAAGAAATAAAAAATCGATATTATTATTGTAAATCGGTCAACATACCGGGTAGTTTTCCGTGGAGAGCAAAACGAATAACCGTAACATTCCGAGCCCAACGTGATCAAAAGTACTATGCGAATATAAAAGGAAACRAATACAATAACATGGTCAATATGCTGCACAATTTGACCAGATAAATAGAAATATTCTCAATGACTGAAAACAGAAAAGCTTGCGAGAAGATGACCAACCCATTGTAAACTTGCTCTTTACTTTGTACTGTGCATGGAATATCTTTCCTGTGTGAAGAAAACAAGCAACGAAAGTTTAGTTACTGTAAACTGCGATGGTACACTACTTGTGTCACGTGCTATATGATATTTAAGGAATATAAAAAAACGCGCGCATGTCTCTGTACTGTGATATGAACACTCTGGGAGATGTAGAGCACTCAAAGAGCAAGAGAAACACTAGCTACACCTCGTGCTCCTAGGATGTTTTCTCTCGTGCTCTACAGCTCCCATCGTGTTTATATCACAGTACAAAGATATGAGCAGTCTTCATTCTCTTGAGTATAAGATTCTTTGTTTCAGGAGCATTGCATCCATATCCCGGCATGTTCTTTCTCATGCGCAACCATTTTAAGCAAAGAAATGATACTCAAGGAAAGGACGCGTAGTCCGAAATAGAAAGATATGGGAGTTATTTTTGGTACCTAGATCATTAAATAGAAAGTATATAATTACCCCTGGTAAGTAGTAATCTGTGCTGTTGAATTAGGCACGTGTCGGCRTTCATAGACATCCATTAACAGGTAGAGACCAATGCAGGATGAAACCCACACGAAGACAAATATTATGGCAAAAACCTACAAACATTACACGAAAACAAATCCATTCAGCTTTTTTACATACTACTGGTCTATTTCGTGTTCTATGCTTTTAACAAAATACATCAAGTGACTATTATCCGCCATGTTGGATACCAAACGCGCGATATCATTTTGAATATCTAAATCGCTTTATACATGCAGAAATATTCTTTGGACATTGTTACTCAACTAGATTAGCTTTATCGTTATTTTGAGTAGCATCTACTTTTCTTTTGTATTAATTTTCTATTGTACAGTGTAAATATTTATAGTATAAGTAATAAAAATGATTGAAATGAACGATTTTCTTTATCTAGTTCCTTATTGGTATTACATCTTGTGATAACGCTATCTTTTAAGGCAAAATTTGCGATACGATTACTGTCAAAAGTATCCTGAAGGTGAGGATAACTGAAAACTACAAAAATAGCCGTACGTTTTCTCAATGGAGTTTGTGCCTGTGTTTTGTATTTTCCTGTTAGCCAACCAAGATGACTTTAAAAGGAATATGTATTGTCTTATGTCTTTTGCTATCTACTCTTCTCTGAACATGACCCAGTTTTGATAAAGAATCAACTACGTCTGATGGAATTATTAAACAAAGCGAGTGAGCCTGTTGGGGAATATTAATCACATTATCATACTAACCTTTGATAATTTAAAACCTATTGTTAGAAGAACCTGATATCAGAAAGAGAAAAAAAGACGAGATCAATAATGTTTTCAAGACAAAACAGACTAGTATACAATTAATATTAATAATTAAAATAAAATTTATATTAATAAAATTAATAGTAATGATAGTCTATTTAGAATAATGGATCACGTGATTATTTCCCTACATCTTGATGACAAGCTTGGCTATTTCGAGGTGAATTATCATATAGTAATATAAAATTAATATTAATGATCAAAGTAATATTAATATTAATAGAATTAATAATAATGATAGTCTATTAATTGTTATAAGGGCATTACATATGCATACCATCAATATATGCCTAATGTTCTTTGCTTTGCAGAGCAGAACGGCTAGTCTGAAACAGCGAAATACTTGTGGAATGTACTGAAAAATAAAAAATATATATATAAAAAATAAAAATACCAATTCATTAGAAACAAATTTTATTAGACTTCTCTCAAAGATATGAGCTGCTGTATCTACGTCAGGCTAAATAAGTGGTCAAAATTGTACTTGCCGCCTTAAACTCTACGTCGTTTGTCAGTAGTCAAACACGAGTTTTGTTTATTGCGCATGCGTAAAACATCTTTAACTTGGGCGAATCTTGGGCGTAACCATTTCTTTGTTTAACGGTTGCGCATGAGAATACAAATGAATGTAGCCGAACACAACTCTAACAAAGAATTTTATTCCCAAGAGAATAGCACGTGGTCTGAAATGGGAAAACATTACGCCCAAGATAAAAAGGTCTATTGCATCTGGGAGTCATTGGAATCAATTACTTACTGTATGAGTCAAAGCCGATATAATCAACAAAACGAAATCCATAATAAACATGCATACAAGTACAAACTGTATCCTGAAAGAAAAGATTAAGGAAAAAGCACACTGAGTAAAATTATTTATGATGGCTGCTTTCATCTTGTCTGACTATATATGCTGCTGATATCTTATTTTATACTTTGAGAAGAAAAATGTCTCTTAACTGATTTGCCCCACTCTGTTTTTGATAGTGCAGTGGAAGCTAGTAATTCGTAAATTATTAATCATAGTAACAGCCTATACTTTATAACACTAATACGCACTATTCACAGTAGATAAGTATTCTTCGTGTTATTAGAAAAACTTATTTTAAGGACGGGCCGTGCCGTGACCGTGCTATGAACGTGACTGTGCTGTGAGCGTAACCGTACTGTGACCGTGACCGTGTCGCGAACGTGATCGTGCTAACCGTGACCGTGACGTCGCCGCCCCATTTCAAACTGTGTCAATGTGTCATACCCCTGAGAGTTTTTTCTTTTTTTTGTTAACCCGTAAAGATGGAAAAGTATTACTTACGCGCAAGCCGAAAAGATCTATTGGTTCAGGACTGAGTTACCACCAGATGCCTAACGTAAGCGTACGGTGCGCAATAATTTCTCACAGTCATAAAAAAAAAACAATCTAATGTCTTGACTTACCCATTCCAGACACAAGGTTCAGCTTTGCGAGACCAAAACACAGGCCACGTGAGAAATGTGATGTTAACAGCCAAGTCAAATACATAGACAATTATGCAAAATATATCCAGTATAAAGACGAATGGGGAGATCCTGTTAATGACACAAAAGTACAAGGACAATGTCAACTATACTTGATGAAGGTAAGTCTATATTTTGTTAGAAAAAAAGAACATAGTAGCATCCTAAAAAAATGGAAAAAGCTGTAGACCAGTATGCGTGCAAAAGACTGAGCATAGGGGCTGAGACTTGTAAAGTTAGTGGATATTAGCAAGCCCCCCAACCCCTCCCTCTCCAAAGTTCATGAAGGGTGTCAATATCTCATACTTAATACATGTAATGCTATTCTACATTAATACGAAACTTGAGGATGAAAATTTGTTAATTGGCGAAAACAACTAGTCATTGGTAGTCCTACCCTGCAAAAAGATGTATCTTGACATTAACATTTACCTAACCCCTGATGTGACATGACTGTCACTGGTGATTCTACCTAAAGTGAATAGTTGAGTGGTTAGATGCACTCAGTTTAAGATCATATATTTCTGGTATACGAATAGACTGGTACACAACTTGAGGACCAATCACCCCTTCTGTGTCTATTCTACGATCTCGAAAGTCGATACAAATAACCCCAACACGAGTAGAGTAGAGACTAGCCATACAGGACGAATGGAAGGGGATTCGGTTTTCTATGGATTTCTGTGGATTTTGCGGGATGTTTTGCGCCAAAATTCACTTTCTAGCCACTGTTCTAGCCTTCCGTCTTTTATGTCCGACTGGAACCATTTGTTTAATTTTCAAAAGAGGTATGGATACTCACTCTTGTAAAGAAACTGACGGAGGCTCAAAGAAGATGGTTAACGAGTGAAGGAGAATATTAAACATCATAATTTTACGAAACCATGGGTTATTGAGTATCTTGAAGCACCTGAAATAACATAAAATCAATATCGATCAGTTCATTCTAGTGGTCTTAATTTRCTGGCTCGTTTGTTTGATAGACAGAGATGAGCAAATTATCGTTTCTTTCCTTCTTAAAAAAATCTGAATATCCGTTAAAAAATGATATTCTCTTTCTCTCGCTCCCTCACGGCCCCTGCCTCCCTGCCTCCCTACCTCCCTCCCTTCCTGTCTCTCTACTCTTTCTCCCTTCCTTCTTTTCTTCCTTCCTTTCTTCATCTCTTTCTTCATCTCTTTCTTTCACGAAGCTTTGGTTTCCAAACAAGCATGAATATGTCCTGTGTTGAAATACCTTCGTGCCAGAGGAGGCTTGAAGTACGATCTAGCTTTACCATAACCACCCCTACAAGAGAAACAAACAAACAAATAAACCGACATTCATTTATTTATTTTACATATAGCTTGCACCCTCTTTTAAGGAATGTCCACCTTAACGGCCGTACAGTCAGATCAAAACCTCACTGATCGTCTTATAGCTTTTTTCCCCCAGTCATATGCATTTTTTAATGAGCGTCAGTCTATTCGTCCCTATAGTCAACCAACACCCCTGAGCCACACTCATTTCTAAATAAACGAACTAAAAAAAGCTATGTTTTGTACCTTCCGTTCAAAGCATCATCTATATGTGCTGCTGCCAGCTTGAGTTCTCTGTGTTTACCTTGCAGGTCTCCAAACTGTTGGGTGAGTGCATCAGCCTGTATATACAAACAAAGGCAGTAAGCATAATCAAATATGGTAGCAAGTCACGCACCAAGAGTTGACGACGGTTTTTGGTGACAAAGAAGAAAGAAGGTAAGAAAAAAGTAATTGTTATTTTATCTAATTCGGAATGATTGCGAACTGCTCACGGAAAAACGATGGAAATTAACCGCATTAAGCAATCGAGAGTGATTCAATAATATTTCATTTAAAAACAAAATCAGCGGATTCTGAATGTCACAATTTTAACCTTCAAGAGCGAGGTCACTAAGCTCCGTCATTTCGGGCCTCGAAATAAGCCCCACAATGCTATGCGCCACGAGGTCGTTACTAGTCCTTATTTAGAACTTCAAAAAGGTGAATATCTAAGGTTTCGTATGCTATTCGCTCGGCTATCTAAATAATATTGCATTATGTGAATGACTCGGACGTCTTTGTTTCAAAATGATTATCGTAAATAGTGGTATGATATTACTAACTATTAATAACCATAATACTACTACTACTAATATTGATGATAAAAAAATAAATTATTATTATTATCATATTAATAATATCATTATTGTTATCCCATATCCTATCTTCTGTAAAGACTTTTCTCAAAAATACCAAAGGAAAATTGGATAAAGAATTATTTCATTCTGCGCTCCATCCTCAAGAACAGATATCCCGGGATTCTCCAGACTTCAGTTGCTTCTTCCGCACAAACCAACTTCTAAATCGAAAGCTGGCAACGAAAGCTTTTTGTTGAAGTGACACACACTTTTGGCTCCGACGAAGATAATATTCGGTTCTAAGTTAGAGAGTAATCTAAAAACATTTATGAGTTAAATTAAATTCTAATTTATTTTAAAAAGGATGTACGATTTTTTTAGAGTACCATAGTTTTATAATAGAGTGAATTACCTTTTTGATTTCTAGTTTCATTGCGTTGATATTTTCAATTTTCAGGATCAATTTAATATTTTAGCGTCAAACTTTTTGCATATATGGAAAGGTTCTATCACAAACATCAATGACACATTTTCTTCTTGCCTTTTTCCCCACGTTAGCAACCATACTACCCAATTAGATAAACGATTGTCACTTGTAGGAAACATATACAATGTGAAGAGAATAGAAACACATTTAAAACAAATACTGACTGATATTAAATCAGTAAATGATCGGACTAATCATTCTTGATCTCCATAATCGTCTGTCATTTCTTAAGAACGCGGGTCCGGACAGCCATGTAGCCAGAATAATACTAAAATGATAGCAATTGAGATTATTATTTACGATTGTAAATATTTTATTTCTGTATTTTTCAGTGTTTGAAGTATCGCTTTTTTTCAGTAATTTTTAAAAAATGATCACTTGGAAACAAAAGCTATCTAATCCTTTCTTTCCGTCTTTCTTTCCTTTCTTCCTTTTTTCTTTCCGTCTTTATATCTTCCTTTCGTTCTTTCTCTACTTTACTTTATAAGAATTGGGCGTTGTGTATGAATAATGATATATGAACTAAACCTATTATAACGAAAAATGAAAAACGACAAAATACAACAGACTCGAAAGAATATCCACTACCGTATTCCACCCTAAAATCGGGCCTAAAATGTATGAGAAGATCTATCTCCTTTGACTGCGGAGCGGCGTTTTTGTAGATTTTTGGTTGATAATGGGTGATCGCAATCGCAAATGATCATGATACTACTTTTACTGCATACTGAACTTAAGTCTATGAACGCTTTCATTCACTATCGTCTTGTAAAGTTTTCGCTTATCTACTCGTGCTATTAAAACTACTGCTCACTTAATTGATATAACATAACTCATAAATCTTTTCCAGATCGTTTTCCAGATCTTAAATCAATCTCTGAGGTACTTAACTCCTAGGAGATCATTGATTTTCTTGCTCGTATATCTATCTATAATCTCATAAATTTAGGTTCATAATGATTTTCCAGATTTTACATTAATGTCGGATCCGAACTCCAAAAACACAAAATTTATCTGTTTTTTTCCTTCCCACATATATCAAAAATGCAAGTTCGTAATGATTTCGATCATTCAAGGAGATCAATATTCACCATATTCCAGTCATATCTATATGATTAATCTCATAATATATATAAATTTAGGTCGTAATGATTTTCCAGATCTTACATAAGATTTTCCAGAACTGAGTCTTTTCTAAAATTCTGAGTTTCCTTATATGATTTAGTTGTCCGATATTTGATTTTCTTTCAACCCTTGCCTTTCAACTTTAAAAACATTGGATTTGTATTTTATGTTTGTTCAGAAAAGGGTGGTATATGGCTTGACCTCAAAACCTGGACTTTTTTTCTGGTACTTGCACGAGGGCTAATAAAACAATTCACACCTTCTTGTGCCTTAGCAGTGTAACGACTCAATCAGTGATTTGTCTCTTTTTATACCTCAGTTGATCGGCATTGTACCTCAATAATAATATTTCAGGACAGTGAACTGACGACCAACTTGTCAGAACGGCTGTCAACGCAATGCTGCTACAGTTGCTGCTAATATCTTTATACAGCTTTACAATGGCTTTACAGCCTGATAAATGCTTTTTTGAAAGACTTGTTTCAGTCTACTGGAATTATGTCTTCACTGCTCTCCATAAAGGAACAACTCAGTTTTTGATTCAGGTGAAATAATAGTCTGTTGGTGATGACGGATGTCTATGTGACTGTGTATTTTATCAAATAACAAATACTATTACCTACCCCATCAGCATGTGGAAACAATGCTAAAGCTGGAACCAGAAATCCAAACTGGCCGAAATTCTCTACCGATGAGCGCCGTTCTAAACTTCTAAATTGATTAGCAGTTTTGATAGAATCCGTAGCAGTATCAGACCATGCCAGAGACGAACAACGCGAAGACCTGATAGACTCTCCAACTACAGTTTCGTTGTCATTGTTATTATCATCGTCCTGGATAAGAACTGAGTGACTTTCGCTTCTCTGTGTTTTTGTCAAATGGCTACTACCATTGGCATCCATAGATTGAGGGGACTCGCTGAGAAAGTCTGCTCTCGAGAAATATTTTGCCGTAGTTATGATCCAGGATTAATTATCCTTAATAACAAAGCATTTCCATTAATTACATAGATCCTGCACTTAGTGACAAGAAATTGTTGCTTTTGTCACTCTAATCCTGTCGTTGTCACTTAAATATACCCCAAGAAATTAATGTTACTCTGTTTGCAGTTCTTGCTCACTAGCGACAGCACAGCTATCTCTTCGATCGTCGTTAACGTTCTACGATATAATTAAAATCTCGTTCCGGAGATGATTTCCTTATTCTTGTCAGCTTCTTAAAGTTTACAGTATCTAAAGAAGGTTAAGGACCTTGTCTAGTCCCTTGGCTGATTTAATTCATCTTACTGCCCTGCTGCATTGTATGGCTTATTGTTAGCAATCGTTCTGGTTTCCTGACCCTGGTTTATCGATCTCTCAGGTGGCAATCGACTGGATGGCTGATTCCTAAAAATGCTCGCTCTCAAAAGATGTTGTTACAAATTGCGGGCCTGAAGTCAAATACTTCTTTTGACAAGCTTCTGTTTTGTTTACAAAAGAACGTTTATCAGTATATGAATTCCTTAAGGACGTGTAATGATCTGGATCACGTGGCTCTTACGTCACAATGATAATATTTATCAATGGTATTAGTGTACATGGTAAATGATAAACTAACCATTTGTAAGGGAAGCACCGGCTAACCGGCTCAATAATTAGTGTAGAATCGTCTTTAATCTCTCCCTATAAATAATGACCGGTCCCTTATGCAACATGCAGAATGGATCAAAACCTTCACCAACCTTTTTTGAAATAGCTGTATATAAACATTAGCCTCTTTCTTGCAAAAGGAGACTTGTCAAAATCCGGCATGTATTGTAGTGGTCTTGAAATTCGAACTATTGGACCAGGGGAGCAGTGTGCCATACGACTTGTCTTATTCACAAATAGCGTAGTTGGTTTTGATAAATAACAGAAGCACAAGGTTTGAAAACAAAAAAATTTTAATATGATTTCTTTATCAATATTCAGAATCTAGGATTTGTCTATTGCACATTTTAATTCAGGGAAATGTTTAAAAATTCTAATAGTAGTCTTCTCTAATTTCCACCAGTTGCCATTTCTTCAATTTTTCCTGCAAGCTCCAGGCAATGAAGAACTCTCTTCCTCTCCTTGGCTAACTCTTCTGCTGCGACTTCTCCTCGTACTTTGTCAATAAATAATTTAAGGTCTCCTGCGAAAAGTCCTTTGGGGGGACCCATGGGTGGGCCAGTTGGAGGAGGTGCAGCTCCCCGTGGAGGGGGACCCATACGAGGAGAATAGGACATGGTTGTTCCGTCTTCAAACTTGAAGTCAAATGAGAAAGTACGGTCTTTACCTGGACTTCGACTGTTGATCCAGATTATTGGTCTGTAAGAATAATTCAATGACACAGTAAAAGACTAATTGATTCACGTCGCATGTCAAATTAGAAACTTTTAAGTTAAAATGTTTAAAATATGTATTAAGACCTGCAGTTTTTAATTCCTGGATTTTAAGTACATGGAATGTAACTAAACCATGCTTTATTTCGTACATATTTCTGATGAAGATTGCTTGTTGTGGCAACAATTTGATCTTCCAATATTTGAAAATAAAGCCGGCAAGGTTCTTTTCTGACAGGCGTGTTTAGTAGCGCCATAAGGGGCAGCCCCATCAAGATTTTTCCACACAACTACCGCACGCATGCTTTAGCCAAGTTTTAGTTGCCATTTACAGTTGTAAGCAACTTTGTATGGTCAATTACACGAAACCATTCGTGTCGTTAGCATGTTGCAACGACACTGAGTTTTGAGGAAAAGTCGTACCTTGTAAATCAACCTTAATAGTACCACAGTTATCTCCTATAAGCAGGCAAATGGAGAAATGTTTCTCTCTGGAGGAGGGGGGGGGGGGGTTAGGACGGGACTTATGTGTACCTGTTGTCTTTAGTCAACAGTGAAGCCACCATTTCAATAGAATCACCATCTCGAGTTAGCTTTGCTTCCTTGACGGTAAGTTCACCAAACATCTCGTACACCATATGCAAACGATTGATACCAGAAAAACTCGGAAAGCCTGCTCGTTTTAAATCCCCGATCCATGATGATGATTGGCTGCTCGCAGTAAACACCATCGTTGTTTCGCTCACTGGAGGTTTGGACTCTAACATTTGTATGAGTTCCTTGAAGGCAGGTGTAAGAAGCCCAATGTCCTCTTCCTGGCATACTAACCCTGTGAAGATAACATTACAGATCACATCACGAAGATTAATTGAGTTAAACCGGCAGGTGTGCAAAGAAGGAAATCTTGAAAGCAGTGAGTGATTCACTGACTATTCCTCTTCCTCGAAACATGAACAAATTCACAGCCGCACTAAAGTCTACTGCGCCGGGACCTTCACCAATTAACCCTACCAGTTAGTTATCAGGTTCCATATTCTTCATCACGCCGGTTTGGGAATATAACAATGTCGGTTAATTGTAGATGCATGGCTTGTTATATATACTCTTTCCATTAGGAACAGGTCTTGTTTACTTGCGGGGGCGAATAGCGATACAATTTTTTTTCTTTTTACAAACCCCTCACCTTTATTTAGGCATTGAAGTGATCTGTGCATACAAGACTTTAGTGAACGGAACTTAACACTCAGAATCTCTTACCTTTTTTCTCTGCAAGTTCGATGATATCTTTTGCAGACTGAGAGGAAATCGTGAGAGGAAAGTCGACCAAGATGTGTTTTCCAGCATCCAGACATTTTCTACATTTTTCAAAAAAAAAAATTTTGAACAGAGATCGATATCATTGACATATTATTGACAACAACTTTCTTATCCATAAAAACTGTTCATAAAGAAAAATAATTCTTCAGTCTGCTTGCGTCTCAGTATTTTGACTATCTGTGTCTTTGATTATCACAAAATATGACGATAAAAAAACACAAGGTAAAATACTTCTTTGGCCTACACCAAACAAACGTAGACAAGAGTGAGGAAAAAAGGCACGTCAATTCTGCAGCAACAATATTCCACGGAGAAGAGGGGTAGACACGGAAACGTGTTACATACTGCAGCAAATTCAAAGCCCTTCAAGGACCAATGTGTAACTCTGCCTTTTTCCGCTCTCTCTGATCCTTCCTCGTTCTCTTAGCCTGCGTCAAATCCGGACAATGGCCCCGAAGTTTACCGGAATATTGTCCGGATGCAGGCTACGTTCTTTCTGAAAATTTGGTTTTTGGTGGCATAGGTCATGCTTGTCTTTCAATATGTTTAGTGCAATGATACTGGAACTTTCTTCCATGGAAATTAATCCAGGTTTTAAAGTGAATGAAGAAATTGAAGGGTGGATGGGAGGAAGGGAAGATGAATAAAAGGGATGAATACAGCTAGATGGAYGTGAAAGATGGAACATGGGTGGAAGGAAATGAATAAAGGGAAAATAGAGAATATGATGGAAGGGAATATGGCTGTTCTCGAGGAAGAAAAGATGAACACAAGGGGAGAGAGAAAGTATATAGAATCGGAAGGTTGGAATATGGATGGGTCTATGGGTCTCAACCTACTTAGCACATTCTTCATGGTTTCCATTCTCCGTTGCTATGACAAAGGCATCCACATCACTTCTTCCTAATGCTTCATCCCAGGACAAGAATGTTTCCTTGACGTCTTCAGGTTTGTGTCTGAAAAAAGAGTGAAAGAATTCGCCATGCGTGGATTGTAGGAAAATTTGAAATACAACTAGACCTTAAATTTTGAATCATTTATTCTGTAGCCGCGCATGCAAGTTGAACATCTTTTTAATGAAAGATTAAAAATGAATAAGTGGATCACTTTCCCATCCATTCCATCCAGAATCGCATTTCCAAGGCGCGAGGCTCTGGTCGCCGGCTTGGCAACAACCCACCGCCATCCCCACCGCTACCTATCACACGATGTAATATGAAATTCCGAGGTCAAGGAAAAATCTGGATCAAGTTGGAATTGCAGTGCATTGTGGGACTCTTTTTCGCTCCACTACCCTCGTGGGATCAAGGGCGCTAGGGCAAAAATTGATGGTTTTTTAGCCGTTAGACTCCGTTATATTGGTGTTTTTTTTTGCCGTTAGAAACTGTTTAAACTGTTATTCGTCTGTTCTGTTATGTGCTGGCTTGATACGCCAAAAATACTGCTGTCACCAACGGTCCAATCGTATGTAACGAACTACTGTATCCTATACCTGCCTCGTGACCGCTTACGTAAGCGTACGCATCGGTTAATAAGTTAATAAGTTAATCCAAATCCCCTAAATAACCAAGAATGAACAGGGGTAGGAAAAGAAAGGCCAATCTATTGTTCTCTCGTCTGCTCGTGTAATAGGAACCAACGAAACCTAACGAACCAACTTCGAATCCAGCCGAACTGGCCTCGGCCAAACTCGAACCCCGACTCACTTGTCAACTTACCGTTTGCATTTAAATTCAGGATAAGCTTCGCTATGGCTGTAAATTACAAACAGTTTTAAAAAACCAGTTCCATTCGAACTGACTCCAAAAAATCCACGAATCATTAATAAGCCGAACTGGCCTCGGCCAAACTCGAACCCCGACT